CCTGTTTATTAAACACGTGCATAGTTTACATGTATGCAGCTGTATGAATACATGTTTTGCTTTTGACTACACTGGACTTTGCATCAGATCTTGAATAATAGTTTTAGGATTCAAGAGGAGTAGCACCTAGGATTAGTGAGGTCATGGAATTTAATTCCACTTTCTATGACCTACCATGGGTTATGGTATGACAGCACAGTCCCACTTCATGGTATGGTATCTTAACACCTCAGAGTTTCAGAGCTAATGATGACAAACAGAAATGGTAAACTCAACAGCAGTCAGGAACCTTCCAAAGCATTAGCACGGGATCAGCTTTTTTGTAAAACTGTTTCAACCAGCCCTGGGCATGTTTTCAGCCCATGTCAGCAAGCTCTGTCCTGTAGAAATCGTAATTGTTGTTTCTGTGCTCGGATACAGGCTGTTGGCATTGCAGCCTCTTCACTTTGGAGACGTGATTTCAGTGAGTCAGCTGGTCTCATGTCCATTTCTCCTAAACTACTGGCTTTATCAACCTGGATTCAGACTGCATGAGAAACTTCTAAAGGAATAAACACAAAATTAAAAAGGTGTCTTTGTTAGCAGAGAAATGGGAACTCATTAAAATGTTTTTACACTCACCAACTTATTTGGATTATTCTGTTTCACATAGTAACTTGTTTGTGTACACCAATGCATTCCGCCTCTATAACTGTGTCTTAATGTGTGAAAATGAAGTGTCACATTTCCCTGAGCAATATTCATTTACATACCCATATTTTAATCTCTTTCACAATATTAATTTAGTCTGTTACATTTTAATCTCCCTTGTCACTCCCTGGCTCCTATCTAATTAAAAGAACTGCCCAATTCTTTCAAAAAGTAACAATGAATTATTATTATGCATTTTCATCTATGTTCTGTAGAAATAAATCTCCTTTAATGCATTTCCTTTCTTTGTAAGCAATGATGATTTATATATCAGACAGATGCATACAGAGCTTTTCAATAGCTCTAATGAGAAAGATTTTTATTTCCACTGTCCACTAACAAGGAAAAATCACCTGGATTGTGTGGATTATAAACATTTCCCAACTTAAGTAGCACTGTGAAAGAACAAGCATCAGACATACAAAAGCATTATGAGGTCTCAGTGCTATGCATTCTGGAAACTCAGAGGGAAAATCAGGAACTAAAATACTTTATAAATAAAGTACTGACATGAATTTTTGAGAGAAAAGTGGAGGGTAAGGGGGAACGGAGCGCAGAGAAAAACCAAATAAAGAATGCCAGGATATCTGTGTGGGTCCAAGTGGAGAAAATGCCTTGAATTCCCAATTAGCTCAGTAAACTGCTTAGCTCATGTCGCTAAGACAACACATTGACTGAATGACAGCTGGAAAATTATTCCATAGTGAGTGATTTTGAGACCAACAAGCAAGAGCAGAGAAGTCTGTAGAAAAACACTCCTAAAAAAAAAAACAAAATAAGGTGAGGAAAAGAAAATTAAGAGTCCACACAAAGACCTGTGTGGTTTCAGAATCAGAGGAAGCACCAGTGCATTTGAACCCATTAAAGCATTGAAGTGGAAATTTTATTTTACTAGTTCTTCCTCTTACAAGCTGGATAGTATTCCTTAAAACAAAGCCCCTCTCAGTGGTCTTGCTCCCTATTCCCAGTTAAAATCTGCTTAGCGTTTATCTAAGGCTAAAAGCATATTTACTCCCAACCAGGAAACAGCAATCTTCAAGCACCAGATTTAGAACAGTGGCATTTTATTTTGCATTTAATGTATTATATTGTTTGGAGGCCATGTTATTTTTATAGCATTCTACTTCATATAAAACTCCAATGATAAACTGAAAGATTAATATAGTTCAAAGATCAAGATCTTCAGCAAATATATCCACAACAGGGACACTGCTACCAACTGCAAGAGGAATATACTCTTTATTTTCTCATTTCTCTTACAAAGAATAACATAAGGTCTAGAATAAAAAAATAGTGGTCTTGATCTTTGCACACTGATGGGGAGCCCCAGTGAAAAACAATAATGAGTTCTGCTGACACAGATATGTTGTAAGACCAACTTTTTCTGCTTATGAATTTTCTCATAACAAGCTGACACGACATGTAAAGGGCAGAATTCTAACAGAACACTGTCATCCTTTTATATGGGCTATTTTACATATCTTCCCATAAATTGAAACAGGTAAGAAGTACTTACTTTTGCCATCTGCAATCAAATCAACCAATTTGCCCAAGTTAGGGACAAGGCTTAAATAAGGCTTTGGCTCACTTTCTGAATGCAGATAAGATATTTTATGGCTATTTCCAGAAACCAAACCTTCAATATATTTCAGCACCACATATTACCTTCTCAGCTTCATACACACACAGGTGTTTCCTTATTTGTTAATAAAACTTATTCTGCCTTATAAACTGCTCTACAGTTTCTTCTGTGAATCTTTCCAGAAACAGGCTAAAAGCATAATAAAAGATCTTCAATTTATTTTATTTTCTTCCCATCATTCGTTATTGTAACATATACATTAGCATACTTAAAATACACTCTGAAACTGTGATTTTAATATACTTTATTGAAAAAATTACACAGTCTTGAATTGTTTTCAATGGGACAAAGCGATGGTCACCTCTATCTACCAAGTCCTTTTTTGATGAGTCATGACTACCATATGCCAAATTCACATCTGCATGACTTGCAAAGTAAAAAGATAAATCTTTTTTCAACATATCTTTAAGAATTTATATCACCAACAGTTTAAAATCATGAAATGCTGATGCTCTGACTATATTTCATGTCCTCTATGTTGCACCATTTCCCAGTTCACAGTTTATCCATGTGTTAGCATGCCAATTGAACAAATCAGTCAATGTCACCTCGAGAAAATCGTCAATAGCAGAGCAAGAAGAACAAGAGAAGGTTTAGCACTAAGGCCTGAGACACCACCACATTCCCTTGCATTTTCCTAAAGAAAAACAAACAAACAAACAAACAAATGAAAACAAATATAAGCCATTACACTCAATTATGATTATTTACCAAACTTCATAGGCATAAGAACACTGGTGCAACAAAACCCATGAAGTAAATACACTCAGAGTGTAATACAGGTGCACCTTTCGAGTTGAACAAGTGGAGATTGTAGACTGAAAGTGAGCATTCTCAACAAGGATTATACAATCCCCTCCCCACCATATTTTAGGTCTCATTCTACATTCCATTACACCATCAGAGGCATGAAATAAAGTTACTCCAGAGTAAAAAGAATGTCTATGAACATACGCTGTACAAGCCACTGTAATCACATCTTGGTCGCTATGAGATCTCCTTGGCATGTACAAAGAGTATCATGCAGAACACAGAGTAGCAAATATGTGTAGCAGACAGATCACTCTCCCTCCCAAGCAATATTAAATGTAAATGTAACGACTATTGCATGACAGCTGAGCTGCTGCCGCCAGTTACTGAAAGAAACATTAACGGCACTAAGCTCCCAACCACCTCTAATGAGGAATCTTGTGGTCAGTGCTTGAGCCAGAGTAAGTTCTCAGATATTCCTGGCTACCAGTTTGTGCTCACATCCTACCATGTTCTCTTACATGATACAAAACAGTCTGCAAATGCAGCAAGTCAAGACATGGTCTACGTGAACACAGAAAAGATTTGCAGCACTTGCAATGTCACTCACTGCTGTTAATACTGAGTGTTCTGAATATTTCCTGACATTTCATTTTGGAAGACAGTTCGTTTTGTTTTTTTTTTTTTTAAGGAAATGAGACATCTACCAGAGACCAAAAGAAAGGAAAAATAGATAGAAACTTACTTCAGGGTGAAATCCATGACAAGATTCTGGGCGTCGTCTTATCTTCTGAGATTTTAAACGTTCACATTTCAGGGATTCATTATGTACAAGGCAGTTAAGGAGAGATGTTCTGAGAACTGCATTTTTATGGGGGTTTTTGGAAATGAATACAGTGAAAATCTTTTAGCTCCTTCTTCCCTCTCCATCAAAACTCCAAGGTGATACATGTGGTTACCACAAGAAAAAGAAAGTCATTCTAGTGCTTTCCTCTCCATGGTCCACAGTTTCGACAGTATCACGTGCACTTACAGTGCCAACCTGTCTTTCTGTAAGGCTGCAACAAAAGCACACTCCAAGCTCCTTTTGGCAAATTCCAGCTTATGGCAGAAAACAAATCCTGAAGTATAGAACAGCACAAAGTAGGAAGTGGGCAACTAAAACTCAAGTGATATATTTGCTTTGTTACATTGCTATATTTTTGGAAAGCAGGATTCTGAAACATTTTCAATGCTCCGGTTTAACCCTGAAATAAAGAGATATTTCTATGGCATGGAGTTTTATAAGTTCCAATATCAGGAACTTAATCCTTATAAGGAAATTACATTGTTAGGGCCTAATCTGTAAAATGTTCAGCCATCTAAAGATGTCTGTGACCTTATTATTCCTAAAGATCCACAAAATGTATTTGCTTAACTAATTTTGGCTGTTTAAAAAAAAAAAAAAAAAACCACAAAAAAAACCCCAAAAACCAACCAAACAACAACAAAAAAAACCAAACAAAACCCCAAAAACCGAAGAACACATTCTCAGTTGGCTTCATTTCGAACAGACCCAGCTCTTTATGGGTGATGAAGTCATGCAATGCAAGTTTCACATTATAAGAGATCTTTCGATATTTGCATCTTGAATCTCTTTCTGACAAGTTTGCAGATAAAAGGATATACCTTATTTCTATAGGTGCCATGGTAATTGGTGGGATAGAATCACAGAAGCATTCATTATCTACTACCACCATGAAGAGGTTGCTGCTTGGGATTTGCTGGATAACAAAAGACCTGCAAATTAAAAAAGAAAACAAATAATGGTGACATTATCTGCATTTCTGAGCCACAGGTTCTGTTAGGCTTTTCTGAGCAATTGCCTGTAATACTGTCACAAGTATCATAGACTTTATGTTGTAATCTCCACACCTTGTAGAAGCAGAAGGCACTGAGCAATGCCCACTCTGTTATACATACCCAGCTGTGTGTTTATGGTCTGGAATGAAACTGAACCCCAAAAATAAGGAAGGTTCTTCTGCAGCCATGTACTGATAGCTCATGGTCCCAAACTTTAGCCTCTACAATGATATTAGGGCCATTATGCACTCTGGGTCGCGCTCAAAGAAACAGGAACTACTGATCTCAGCTTTCATCTGTCCCTTTGAGAGCCATTTTATTACTGAGCCAACAAAACAAAGATTAAGCCTCAAAATCTTCCTAAGTGAAGAGATTTATTTTAGAATAATGATGACACCCAGGGGAGAACAGGGAAGGATCCTGTGGGCCCAGAGGATGCAGAGTTTCAATGGGCTGAACACTTAAGCAAATCCCATAGAGAAAAGGGGCAGACAGCAGAGCAAAACAGGCACCGTTTAGCTTTTTTTAAAAAAAAATCAGGACACAAAACAAAGAAAGGGGTCAGATCCAATGCTTGATCAATTTTTAAAATAATCTGTTAGAATTTATATATCATATCAGCAGAGTATCTGCCATATCAAATATCATTGAAATCTGGCAATTCCAGGAATTAGGTGTTTTTCAGAGTGGTTTGCTGGTAAATGTACAGAATGTTAAGTGAGGGTTTGAGGACCAAGAAGATGTGGAGAGAAACATATTTTTCCTCAGACATCTTTCTTTAAAATACATATTGTCTTACTAAAATAACTCCCTGCTTTTTCCAAAGATCACAGAAGATGAAATAGTGGAGAGGGCAGGGAATATTCAAACCTAGCCTACGAAAAAAAAATTGGAAAACTTACTGTAAAAATGTTGCCAACGGAAAGATTAAACACTTTTCAGTATTTTTTAAACTTACTGAACCTCCATTAAAATTACACTTAGAGTGATCTGCAATATGTTAGCTTTATGTTTATACATGAAATATACATTTATGGCATAATGTAAAAGGCTGAACTTTATAAATGTACCTACCAAACAGCTGGAGCATGTAGCAAGACTGACATCATTGTAATGGAGCATCTGTGGCTTTGTGGATTTGTGTGTGGGAGAAATGGGGCCAATAAAAGGAAAGGAGGGAAAATCTTTAGCAGACAATAACACCAAAATTGTAATGCATGAATTTCTCAAAACAGCTATGAATAAATCAAAAGCTAAAGGATAGAAAAAAACATGATTTTTATTCCCAGAAATTGGCACAATTTGGATTTTGTGCCGTCTGAAACTCATATTTATTGTATCTTTAAAACTAGCTCAGAAAAGGACCCCAAGGGCATAAAATGCTGTAGCAATTAATTTAATGCTAAATGACTAATTTCTCTTTTTGCTGAGAAGGGGGTAATTACTCTTCTGTTTTATCTATGGTGGGGCCAAATTCAAGTCCCTTTGTGATACCCTTTTTTGTGATCCCCAGGTGAACTGAAGCCTGTGAAAAGCATGTACCACCCAGCCAGGCTTAAAGGTGCCACTTCATGAAAGGTGGGCACATCTCCCATTTAGTTTCTTCTTTCACCTACTTCTCTGGGTTTCTGTAAGGATGTACATTACAGACTGTTGCCTCCTCAAAGCTGAGAGAGGGGAAAAAATTTCCTATCACTGGAAGGAAGTTTCAACTACAGAACTACAATGCTGAGGAAATTACTATACAGTTACACTCCCAAGTCTAGCAAAATTTTCTGTATCACTTAATTACTGCAAGCCTTCATTATTTTTGACTTCATCAATTTGGGGAATGCAGTATATGCATGGATTGATGGAAATTATAAGTTAAAGGAACTGCAAAGAGCAATATTTTAGGCTAAGTAAAAAAAAAACCAAACCCTTTGCTACTCTAGGAATTATATCATAGGTATCAACTGATTACACTGATTCAATCTACCAAACAGTGAATATTCTTACAAATCTACAGTCTGTTTATCTAGTGCAGATGTTTGTGAAGTGTCTAGCCCTGTGGTGACTGCTACAGAACATAGGACTGCCATAAAGGGCCACAAAACAATGAAACTTTTGTCTCATTGCAGCATTTTTTCCCCATAAATAGCAAAATAATAACTAATATTTTGCAAAGTGAAACAACTAGCTTCCTGTCCATGCCACTAGAGGTAAATTAAAAAGAAAATGTTTTCTTCCACAAGGAGGATATGAATGTTTTCCCTATCATAATTCTCAAATATAATCTTGAAATGAAGTTGCAAAGCCAAGTGTGAGTCCTCACCAGTCACTGACTTGTGAGGCCCCGGGCAAAGAATGAACATATAAACAAGTGAAGACAGAGGATTGAAGACTGACACTGAGTTGAACAAATGAGTAAGGACAAAAAAACGTCCATTTTATCTTCCTCTTCTATTAATAGCTTGCACAAACAAATATACTTCTTTCAGCTGCTTTTAATTTAGGATCATTTCACAGTCTTGAGATGCCCTTACCCTCACCAGATCAAAGGCAGAGAAGTTTCTGCCAGTCGTAACCACTGCAGTTGCTGTGTGGCTGTTCAGACAATTCACATGGCACTGCTTCCATGCCCAAGCTGGATAAAGCACACAATCATCCCAGCAGCAGCTCTGCCCTTTGAATTGGGCCTTCAGTTTCCAGGGTGACATGCATATGCATCTTTAAAATTCATTTTGAACATTCATGCCAGTAAGTCTCAGGAACCAAACATTCAGAGAAAACAAAAGGTGCACGAACACAGTCAGACCAAAGCCTTTCAAGGACTGAAACCTTCCACCAAAATGCTTCCCTGTGTACGCCAAGGTTCAGCTGCAAGGGAGAAAAAAACTGCGGCAAAGAGCTTCCATGGCTGCAGTGGGAAATAAAGTTGCTGACAAAGTAATGAAAATGGCATTATGTTTTAGTGAGCTCCACTGTGAGTCTCTAAAGTTTCTATTACAATAACTATTTTGGAACACCTGCTGGTTTAGGCTGGCATTTGTGTCACTGGCAATATGGAAGCCAAGTCTCAAGGACCAACTAGGGGGGTTTGCTGAACATCTTGCTGGTTTAACAGTCAAAAGAAAGTCTGTGTTTAATTGCCTTAATATCATGGAGAAGGTTGCATGTTTAAAGGCTAAAGCTCTTTTTGTGTTCAGTAGTGTAAATCTTTTGATTTGATTCCTTTTCCTTTACGCTGCTATCATCACCATCATTTGACAGTGGCTGCACAGAAATAGCCTTGCATATATCTCCAAGTATAAAACAGAATAAACTATTGGGGTTCCTGCTGAAGCCCATTCAGTCAATAAGAAGCTTATTACTAATTTCTCCTCCATCTGTCATCCGCTGAGGAACCAGTTTGGTTTATTTGATGTGCAGGTTCAGAGGCTTAAAACAGACCTGAAAACAAACTGTTTCTTAACTTTGTGGGGAAGGTGAGGAAGGAAGAAATTTAATAGTTGTTGAAAGGGGTAGAGAGAGAAAAAGGATGAAAATCTAATCATGCCAAACTATTTTGTTAAGGAAGAAAAAATAGGAACAGAGTAAATCTGCAATAAAGTCTGTATTTTGAGTCACATCATTACATGATACTTTTGTCCTACTGCACACACATTATCTGTTTCTTTCAAACCTATTTTTGTATTTGTCCATATAAAAACATCTTCATAAATATCATACAAATTGATCTGGGGAAAGAAAACCCCAACTTCATGTTTTACTTTGAAATAGTAAATATTTGTTCAAAAAGAAATACTTCATTTGCTCCTTGAAAATTAATGTTTCATTGTGGAATGAAATAGGAAGAGACTTGGAATTCAAGTACTGCTGCAGCTATAATTAAGTTTGGTGAAGTTGTGCTTATGAAGACATGATAAAAAAGCACATGTGTCTGGTGGCCAAGTGACTCTTCCCACAGAGAATCAGTTCTTTCTAACTCCTCAACACAGCCTAGAATTTGGAAAGTATCATAATAGGACTGTAGTACAAATGTTGGAGGGCAGTCACATCATCTGCCTTTATGCACATAACTCAGGTTCCTACATTAGAAGTGTAAATGACCTCCAGCTCTGGACAGAGCACGTGCAGAGACACGGACTATTCAAGGATAATTCTGAACAGGAGCTTGGCTTTGGTGATCTGAGTCATCCTCTGCAGGAGGGTCCTTCTCTCTAATGGATGAATAGTGATCCTGCAGAGAAAAGCATCCTGAAGAGGGTGAAACATGATATCTAAAGATAAGTGCAGGCTGCAACACCTGTTCTAAAAGAGCCAGCACTCTACATTCAAATCTGGTTGATTGGGTTTTTTTAAAAAATTTGAATCTCCTCCTTTTGCTTGTATATATAAAATTTTTCCTACAGTTATAGTACATATTGTATTGTTATCATAATAATTTCTTCCAAAGACTATGTTTAAAAAAACCCAACAAAACAACGAAAATCCCCCCCCTCAATTCCAAAAATCAGTTCTTTGTCTTACTATAAGTACTTTCTCCTGTAAGGATAAATAATTAGAATACATACAGTAAGGGAGTGGAGACTGAGCTGACACTACCCTTGATGCACTGCCCTCTCTTCACACTGCACCTCTTTCTTTTCCTTTTATCTTCCAATCTCTGAACCCTTGGGTGGCAAAGTATTAGTAAGGCAACTGGCAGAGGGACAAACTTCCCTGTAAAGGAGGGAGATGTTCCAAAATGGAGGACAGGACAAGCAGTGTCCTTTGGAAAAGGGATAGAGGGAAGCAGGTCACTAGCGGCTGCAGGAGGTGGCTTTGCCAGGAGGCCTCTGCAGCCTGACTGCTTAGGGATTTTGGAGCATCTCCCACACTGATACAAACAGGCACAGCATGAGCAAGGTAGAGCTGTGCCCTTTTTCTTCCTGGCTATCCAGTTTACTGGCCAA